TTAACCATTTAACATGTAACAAATATATAATTCATTATCTTCTTGAGAACATAAAAGATTATAATTTTATAAGGTTAAACTTGTTGTAGAATTCGGGTTAATTTCCACTGATAATAACAAATTCACATTGAAAACTATTATCTAGGTGACTAGTGTGAAAATGATTATACTAAAAATCACCCCAAGGTAAATTCCCATGAAATAGGAGGGGTCACAATGGTCCATCTTAAAACCCACTTTCCTTAGACAGAACTACCAAGACAAGTAATTTTAATAGGACAATAATTAACAACAACTATACCCGACAATAGCTATTAAATAGACATAAAATAGAACACCAAAATTTAATGAGGTTCAGCCAAAATTATGCCTATGTCCTCGAACACTACTAAGATAATATTTCACTAATAGAGGAAATATTACAAAGAGAGAAAGAGTACAAATAACCTTTAATAGTGAAGAAAGCTTATATTTATGGGATTCTTAACTATGGAGGAGGAGGGCTCTATTTATAACAAAAGAATTTCCCCTCCTCCTTATACACAACCAATGTGGGACTTTGCCAAAAAACCAACAAATCTCCACCTTGGCAAATCCCACAAATATAAGTCTTCTTCACTATTAAATGTTATTTGTAATCTTTCTCTTTGTAATATTTCTTCTATTAGTGAAATATTATTTTAGTAGTGTTCGAGGACATAGTCATAATTTTGGCCGAACCTCGTTAAATTTTGGTGTTCTCTTTTATGTCTATTTAATAGCTATTGTCGGGTATAGTTGTTAATTATTGTACTATTAAAATTACTTGTCTTAGTAGTTCTGTCTAAGGAAAGTGGGTTTTAAGAGGGACCATTGTGACCCCTCCTCTTTCCTGGGAATCTACCTTGAGGTGATTTTTAGTATAATCGTTTTCACACTAGTCACCTAGATAATAGTTTTCAAGGTGAATTTGTTATTATTGGTGGAAATTAACCCGAATTCCACAACAATTGGTATCAATGCTCTTGGTTTATTTTAGTATGCTCTGTGATTGCGGCTTAGGTTGATCTTCCACATCAGAAAAATTTTTTCTTGGGCTAATTGACATTTCGCATTGACAACTATTAAATAGAATTTGTAGCAGAAATGGCAGACGATACAAAAATATCCACATCGTCGTCAACAGCTTCTTCATCTTCAATTTTGACAAGAAATGTTATGACAAATGTTAGATTTGCAGCGGAGATTTTTGATGGCACCGGTCATTTCGGCATATGGCAAAGTGAGGTTCTAGATGCCCTATTTCAGCAGGGTCTAGACATTGCTATTGAAGGAGAGAAATCAGATGATGTTGAGGAGAAATAATGGAAGAGGATCAATAGATTGGCATGTGGTACTATTCTATCATATCTTTCTAGAGAGCAGAAGTATGCATTTTCTAAGGAAACTTCTGCAAGTAAATTATGGAAGGCACTGGAGGAGAAATTTTTGAAGAAAAGCGGTCAGAACAAGCTCTACATGAAAAAGAGATTATTCCGCTTCAACTATGTACCAGGTACCACTATGAATGATCACATTACTAGCTTTAATCAGCTGGTGACTGATCTGATGAATATGGACGTGACTTTTGAAGATGAAGATCTAGCTCTGATGTTGATGGGATTACTTCCTGATGAGTTTGAGTATCTTGACACTACTCTACTTCATGGGAAGATTGATGTGTCTCTCAGTGAAATAACTATTGCCTTGTATAGTTATGAATTGAGAAAGAAAGACAAACAAGAAAACACAAGTGTCGAAGCAGAAGCTCTTGTTGTTAGAGGCCGTTCGAAGAGTCAGAATAAAGGAATGAGAGGGAGATCGAAGTCAAAGTCCAGATTTAGCAAAGATGAATGTGTCTTTTGTCGAGAAAAAGGGCACTGGAAGAAAGAATGTCTCAGGCTAAAGAATAAAGGCAAACCTGAAAGGGGAAAGGCTGTCTCAGAATCAAATGTGGTCGAGTATGATGATGCAGATTCATATTTCGCATTCGCTGCTACTCCATCAACCAGCTGTTCCAGTTCATGGCTGTTAGATTCAGTTTGTAGCCACCATATGACCCCCAATAGAGAATGATTCTTTTATTTTAAAGAACTAAAAGGTGGATTTGTCTACACAACAAATAATTCCCCTCTTGACACACTTGGGATTGGTTCAATTCGCTTGAGGAATCAGGATGGATCAATCAGAACCTTAACAGGTGTCCATTATGTACCAGATTTAATGAGAAATCTCATCTCTGTGGGAACCTTAGAGTCAAAAGGTTTAGAAGTGAGGGAAAAAGATGAAATTATGAGGATTATCTCTGGTGCACTAGTGATAATGAAGAGAATCCAGAAAAGAAACAATGTGTATTACTTTCTGGGTAGTACAATTGTTGGGACAACAACAGTGACATCTTTTACTGATAAACAGGAGTCAAAAGCGACCAGGTTATGGCATATGCGCTTGGGGCATGTTGGTGAAAAATCTTTGAAATTACTGATAGATCAAGGATTATTGAAGGGTGCTCGGGGTTGCAAATTGGCTTTTTGTGAGCATTGCATCAAAGGGAAGAAAACGAGGGTGAAATTTGGAACAACAATCCATGATACTAAAGGTATTTTGGATTATGTTCATTCAGATGTATGGGGGCCTTCCAAGATAACTTCATTGGGAGGAACACACTATTATGTCACCTTTGTTGATGATTTTTCCCGGAGAGTTTGGGTGTATATAATGAAGACAAAGGATGAGGTGCTAGGATTTTTCTTTAAATGGAAAAAGATGGTGGAGACTCAAACAGACAGAAAAATCAAATGTCTCCGTACAGACAATGGTGGAGAGTACAAAAATGATCTATTTTTGAAAGTATGTGAAGATGAAAGTATTGTCAGGCACTTCACTGTCAGATCTACACCACAACAGAATGGGGTGGCAGAGCGTATGAACCGGACATTAGTGGAGAAGGTTCGGTGTATATTGTCTAATGCTGGGTTAGACAAAGAATTTTGGGCTGAGGCTTTGGTCTATGCTTATCACCTTGTCAACCGCTTACCATCGACTGTTATTGGTGGTAAAACAGTACAATAGATTGTTAGTGGAGAAAGAGTACAAAGAATGATGGGTTATCAAGGGATAAGAAATTGGGGAGGCTTTGTTTGTCTCAGAAAGAATATCTGAGGAAGGAACTAAAACGTTTTGGCATGAATGAGAAGTCAAAACCAGTTAGTACACCTCTTGCTCCTCATTTCAAGCTCGATGCATCCATGTCACCTAAGAATGATGTAGAACGGGAATAAATGTCAAACGTTCCGTATGCAAGTGCTGTTGGTAGCTTGATGTATGCAGTGGTGTGTACGAGACCCGATATTTCACAGGCAGTTGGGATTGTGAACAGGTATATGCATGATCCTGGAAAGGAGCATTGGCAAGCTGTGAAATGGATTCTTCGGTATATTCTGAACACCGTAGATGTTGGTTTGGTCTTTCAACAGGACAAACAAGATGGTCAGTGTGTAGTTGGGTATTGTGATTCAGACTATGCAAGTGATTTGGACAAGCGTCGATCAACTATTGGTTATGTGTTTACATTTACAAAGGCACCAGTCAGTTGGAAGTTCACCTTATAGTCAACAGTGGCTTTGCCTACTACAGAGGCAGAGTATATAGCAGTTACAGAGTCTGTGAAGGAGGTAATTTGGCTTCAAGGGACATAAAAGTACACTGTGACAGTCAGAGTGTTATTCATTTAGCAAAGAACCATGTTTACCATGCAAGGACGAAGCACATCGATGTTCGATATCACTTTGTACGAGAGATTCTAGAAGAAGGTGGAGTCATAATCCAGAAGATTCAGACCACTGAGAATCCTATTGATATGTTGACAAAAGTGGTAACTGCGGTCAAGTTTAAACATTGTTTAGACTTTGTCAATATTGTTACAAATTGAAAGATGAATTTGCAGACACTATTGAATATTGGATTTTTTAGAGATGTGTGTGGAATTTGCCAAGGTGGAGATTTGTTGGTTTTTTGGCAAAGTCCCACATTGTTTGTGTATAAGGAGGAGGGGAAATTCTTTTGTTATAAATAGAGACATCCTCATCCTTAGTTAAGAATCCCACAAATATAAGACTTTTTCACTATTAAAGGCTATTTGTATTCTTTCTCTCTTAAATAAGGAGGATAAGGGCTCTATTTATAGCAAAAGAATTTTCCCTCCTCCTTATACACAAGCAATGTGGGACTTTGCCAAAAAACCAACAAATCTCCACATTGGCAAATTTCAAAAATATAAGATTTCTTCACTATTAAAGGCTATTTGTACTATTTCTCTTTGTAATATTTCATCTATTAATGAAATATTACAAAGAGAGAAAGAATACAAATAGCCTTTAATAATGAAGAAGGCTTATATTTGTGGGATTCTTAACTAAGGAGAAGGAAGACTCTATTTATAACAAAAGAATTTCTACTCCTCCTTATACACAACCAATGTGAAACTTTGCCAAAAAATCAACAGAACTAAAATTTTTTTTATTCATGAATGATTCTTTATAGAAATAACATTATTTTAATATTATATAAATAAAACTATATCACATTATATATATATTTTAAATGGCTCGTCACATCAATAATGTTTTTTTTAAACATGTATGATAGAATATGGTTTTGTCCATGTGTCATTTTTTTTCAACATATCCATGTGTCATTAGAATGGTGCATTGGAGGACTAAATTTGAAAAAAAAATCTAAAAGAAAAATTATACGAAGACGTATTAGTACGAGGATGATTGGTTCCCCAAGAGATTGGGAGAAGACTATTTTGAAGATTATTATCCGACAGACGCGCGAAAAACAATACTACAATTTACACGGGAAACTCTTCCCCCTAAAAATATCTCCGATGTCGGTGCTTACAGTTCCTATTTCATTTTCTTCATCTGTAAATCTATATATATAAACCCTGTTTCAAATTTCAACCCAAATCCCAACACCATATCGGCTCCATTAGATTCTCGACCTTTTCTGGTTTGTTTCTAATGGAGCTGAGGGTGAATCTAATGTATGCCAAAGACCTCAAACACGTCAATCTCATCACAAAAATGAAGGTCTATGGCGTCGTTTCGATCAACGGCAATCCTCGGACGAACCAGAAAACACCTGTTGACAAAGAAAACGGGTCCAACCCAGAGTGGAATTGCCGCATGAAGTTCATCGTCGACGAAGCTCACATCCACCAGAACCTCATCTTCCTCGTGTTCGCTCTCAAATCGAGCCGCATGCTCTGGGACAGGGACATCGGCAACGTGCAGGTCTCCGTTAGGGAACTGCTCCACCAAACCAACGGGAACCACATGGTCGACCAGAACGTCAGCTACACCGTGGTGTTGCCCGATGGTAAATCGAGAGGCATCCTCAATTTCTCGTACAGGTTCGTGGGGAACCTCAATGGCACCGCTCCGTTCCCTCAGCTTCCGGGGGCCGTACATGAAATACAAGGGGGAAGCCCTGTTTTGGCGCTTGCGTCGCCCCAACACGGTGGTTCGTATCCTTATCATCCGCCGCATGGGACGAGCATGTATCCTTATCCGACGCCGCATGGGATGAGCATGTATCATTATCCGACGCCTCATGAGATGAGCATGTATCCTTATCTGCCGGCATATGGTTACCATCAGGGCCGTGGACCCGTTTCAGGCTATGGATATCAACAGCCGCCACAGTGCGACAGTAGTAAACCTCCAAAACAACGATCTGTAAATGAGGATAATTGGGTTTGAGTTGAAATAAATCAATTTTTTTTAAAATGTTTGAAGCATTTCGTATAAAAATAGGATGAAAAATATGAACAGTTCAGGAAAATGCAGATAAAAAATACTCAAATCTAAAAGCTAACATGACTATCATTTACACTTTTTTTTATATATATATATAATCATTAATATTTATTCATTAATTAATTTTAAAAACAGATTAAGAAAGTGAAATAAAGAAAACAAATATTTTAATATTAGTCATATCATAAGTGATGATCAAAGATAAGACGTTAATCACAAAAAGAGGATAAATGAAAAGATTAAAAAATATTTGAAGACAGAGAAGAATGTCATAAATATAGAATTATTAAAATTTAAAAATTAAAGAAGAAATAAAATTGTGATATAAAATAAGGAAAAACAAAAAATATGATTAATCGAATATCAACATTAAAATTGATATCACCGTCTATTAAATTAAAGATGAAAGATAAGAATTAAGCCGGTTTTAAAAAGAAAAACTATAGAAAAAAATTCTTCTAAATTTATAAAAGAGCATACACTAATTAGTAATTATACAAATAGAATAATATATGGAAAGAAACAAAATTTCAACCAAATAACAAAATAAAATATATGAATAAGCATAAAGCATCACTATGTGCATGAAAATAAACAATACTAATACTAATATGAAAATGAATATAACGACAATAACATATTAATAACCGACTTTATTATAACTAAAACATGACATATATAAAATAATTACAAGCAATTATTAATACGAGACAATTAATCTCAAGAATTAAATTAAAATTAGATTAATAATACAATTAAATAAATATTAATCAGAGACATCATATCGAATTCAATCATAAAAATATATTATAAAAGTAGATTTTTTTTAAAAAATGGAAAAAATATTAAACAAAATAATATAAAATCTCAAAATAATAAACTTGTGATTTAAGGATTGTTTTTTTTTTAGCAATAAAAATTGAGTCAAACATACAGAGGAGGACTTTGGTCGGTTTATTGGATAAACCGGATTTTGCCCTGAACTTATAATTCTCGCCGCCTCCTACGATTTCCTTTTCACTTTTTTCTTGTTTTCGCTCCCAACACTCGCGCTTTTTTCTGATTTCACCAGCTCAAAGGAAAGTTCAGAAGCTAAAAATAAATAAAAAAATAAAAATCTTTATTTTTCTCAATTTCGCTGAAAACTCTGCCCGGAAGCAGCTGAAGCGATGTCCGTTCAGCGATTAGACAGAGGCGATCTATGGAAGAACAAGGCTCGTATCTCACAACTCCAGCTCAGGCAGCGGTTCAGGGTGGCCGTTGATCGCCATCGCCGTTCTGTATTTGCTGACCGTTACTTCTCCTCCACGGTTCAACACTGGCTCCGTCGCTTCCGTGACTTCCGCCTCGATTCTCTCCCTTCTTCCTCCGTTTTCTACCGCAAACGAGGTCGCTTTTTCCGCTCCAAATTCCATGCCTTCTATCTATTTATGCTTTTTAGGAAGCATAACTTCGTTTGTTTTTCTACTCTTCGATCGCTTAGCACTATAAAGAAAAAGAACGCCCAGATGTAATTGTTAGAAAGCAAAAGTATCCTTCACTCTCCCTCAATTTGGAACTTGTTCTTTTAATTGCATAATTCGAAAAATTTTAGATTTATGTGGATGTTCAGTGTAAAAAAACTTCGAATTTTTAGCTTGATCAATTTAAGTTGCTGGTCTTGCAGTGACCAAGGACTTTAACTTGGAGGAGGATTCGGCTGTTTTTCGAATGCTTCAAGCTGTAGCGTCTGCCATGTTTTTATGAATGGTCTCAATCGTGTCCAAGTATGCAATTGAGAAAATTCTATTGTGTTCTTTGCAGGTATTTCACAGTTTCTAGGAATTAGTACATGTTCTCTAATGTGGCAGGTTTATGGCCTTGAAAAATTACATGACGCTTTGCTTAATAGACCCAAGAACAAGCCCCTTATAACAGTATGTACCATGGTTTTTGCTATTTATCTGTTTTAGCTTTTGCCTCTTTCATCGGTGTTATGTATGGTCCTATTATTTTGTGTAGCATATGCTGATGAAGGAACGATTATTTGCAGGTAAGCAATCATGTTGCTTCTGTGGATGATCCATTTGTCATTGCTGCATTGCTTCCTCCCAGAGTTCTTCTTGACGCTCAAAACTTGAGATGGACCCTGTGTGCATCAGATCGATGTTTCAGTAATCCTGTGACTTCTGCATTCTTTGGTTCTGTAAAAGTCTTGATGGTGTCTCGTGGTGATGGGATACATCAGATGGTATATTTTTTAAATTTTGACATACTCTTATCAAGTATAGAACAGTGTTTGTTTAACACTGAGTAAGTGGATAACTACAAATTCAAGTGCAGATGAATATCCTTGCTTTTTAGAATTTGTTTTATGCGTTGTTTAGAATCTTAGATGAGGGACATTCAACTGAAGAAAGTGGAAAACAAAGAGGAGGGGCATATTTTTGCTTTTGAACTTCTTTAAAATGGATATGATTGCTAATGTAGTATGATTGTAGACACAGTCTTCAGTTTTTTTAATGTGTACGCATGCTACAGCATATTGGTTTGCATGCATATTGTTAGTGCCTTGATACTTTGTTTCCTTTTTCATTCCTTGAACTTCTTAAGATGCATTGATTATGTAATATGTTTTAGGCCCCATATATTTGCACCTTTCTAGACAAATTTCTAGTATAGTATATCAAGGTTCATCTGCATATTTATGCTTTCATTACGTAAATGTGTGGCATCATACCCGTTTCATCGTTTTGATTCAACTGTTGTAGGGCATGGACATGGCCATTTCAAAACTGAATACTGGTGGATGGATTCACATCTTTCCTGAAGGCAGTCGTTCTCAAGATGGTGGAAAAACAGTTAGATCTTCTAAGAGAGGTGTTGGGAGGTTAGCGTTTGGAGGTAACTTCTTTTTATGCAAATATACATCTTACATCGTTCATCTGTGTTATAGAGATAATTGTTCAATAAATTGAACTTTTATCCTATTTGTTGTTTTCCTTGTTAGTTACTAATATCTTTAAAAATATAATTATGATGATACAGGTTGGTTCTAGATGCTAACAGTATTCCAATTGTTCTGCCATTTGTGCATACTGGAATGCAAGATGTTGTGCCTGTAGGAGCCAATTTCCCGAGGATTGGCAAGACGGTATGTACTTTTGCTATTATCTTTTTGCATAATATGCATTTGTTTATATTATCTTTTAATACATTAAACTTTGCAGGTGACAGTCCTAATCGGAGACCCTATACTTTTTGATGATCTGGTCAATGTAGATGATACCTCTGATGCATCACGAGGAAAATTATATGATGCTGTTGCATGTAGAATTGGGATTCAACTGCAGAATTTAAAAGTGAAAGTCGACAAGTTAGCGCTCTAGCAATCTATCCAATCAGAAAACCTTAACAAAGATGGGTCAGAACGTGCTGCCAATATCTTGCATCAGGTTGATTGAGATCCATTTGGCTTAGGAAGCCATGGCTATATGGCAGATGAATCTTCGGTAGAAAAAACCCGAGTTCAAACAAAGACAAATGATATCAGTCCCGAAGAAGCAACTCCAGATAGATATTTGAGAATGGGATTTTCTCTTGGCGGGATCGGTTCAAGGTTTCACAGTTATATGGATCCAACTGAATTAATGGGTTTCGCGGCGAGAGGCTTGCTAACGAACCGTAGATTTAAGGGAAGTTATTCAGACGTTAGTGACATACGCCCACTGAAGACTTAAGCGGTTTTTCGAATCTAATTTGTTAATGCAATGGAATATTTTTCTGTTCGATTATGTAAATAAGAATTTTTTTTTGTGGTGAGTCTTCCGACATAGATTTTCTACATACAAAATAACTCAAACTGTTTATCATTTGAACTAACAATAATTTTTATCTATGCTAATACAAATTCCCAGCTTTCTTTTTCTTCTCATATTTTAGCAATATTTATGTTATATTCATTTTAGCAAATTTGTATCAAATACGTATTTTATCTTAATATTTGTATTAAATATATATTGATATTTGATATTCATATCCGAATCCAAATATATTTTATCCTAATATTCATATTAAATTAATATTTGTATTAAATATATATTGATATTTGATATTCATATCCGAATCCAAATATATTTTACCCTAATATTCATATTAAATACGTATTTATATTTGTTATTTATATCCGAATCCAAATATATTTTGCCGTAGAATAATGCCTGAAACGTGATGCTACCTAAGTGCATATGAATCCAGATCCAAATAAGCCATAGATAAACCGAAAATTGGGCTATCTTGAGACAGAAATAAGCCCAATAATTACCCGTGACTCCGTGAGGCCTAAACGAACAATTCACCGGCTGCGGTTCCTTCCTTTTCTTCGCGAACAAGAGAACGATAAACATCTTCATTTGTCTCTGTTCCTTTTTTCTTTTTCTATATTTGGATTGCTTTCTACGATTCTCCAACTCATCCCTCCGTTGAAATCAGTGTTGTTCTTTGAAAACCGTCACTGATGGCAACCTGTTTGGTAGAAGATTCGAGCTTTGAAGAAGACCAGCTGGCTTCCATGACCAAAGATGTTATCGTCCGAGCTTCCCGTCTTCTCGATAATAAGATTCGAAATATCAAGGTCCTTCTCGAGCCTTGATCTCTCTCTATCTCTCGGTTACCTAATTATTTTTTACAAATAAGGGAATGTTGTTTAATGTTAAATTTCTGGTTTTATTATATTGGGGAATCTTGATGCTTGAAGCTGGACAGTTTTCTTTTGCACCGAAACTTTTTTGTTCTTTCGGAAGAATGTTGCAATCTTTAGGGTGAATTTTCTGATTTTTGTTTTAATTGGTTTATGTTACGTAAGGAGGAGATGCAAAGGACAAATCTCGAGTTGGATTCATACAAGGAAAAGATTAAGGAGAATCAAGAGAAGATTAAGCTCAACAAGCAGTTGCCTTACTTAG